AGTTTTTTAACTCTACTAATTTTTTATAATTAATGAATACTTTATGTTTAATCTTTTCAACATTAATTCTTATAGCTTTCAGTTTATCTGATTTATCTCTTTCATTATTAGATTCATAGGCAGGTTTTCGGAATTTATATCTTTTATCTAAATTGACTTCCTTTTATTTAACTTATTAATGATTCTATTTTTCTTCTTATTGTCATCATTTTCTATAAATTCATCTTTAATACACCTAATATCTACAAATTTGTTCTCTTATCAATTATTACTCTTTATCATACTACTTTTATTCACAATATTTTTATCAATAATTGGTTCTTCTAAAATCACAAATGTCATTTTACCATAACTAGATCGAATCATACAACAACATTTCCCATTTCTCCATCCAAAACTACACCTTGTTTTTGCAACCTGAAGCATTTCAAAAATGATATCAGAAGTCAATTCATGCATCACATAAAATTCTTTAACTACTATAATACTATTAATATCGATTTCAACACCAGGAACAAATCCAACAACTTCATCATTTCATTCAAATGTTTTCAAGTAAGTTCTTTGCTTCTTATATATCTCATGCTTATTAAATTTAAAGATAAACTGAGCCTAATCATTGCTTTTGCAATTCTCTATTTATTTTTATCCTTTTACTCTTAATTATTATTGTCAACCTTTTTCTTCATTCAATTTGAAACTTTCATACTATATTTTCGGTATTCAATGTTCTTCTTTTCATCAACATGTTATATTTTATCTTCAACTCCAATTCTGTTAAACCACATTTAACTTGTCACCAAGGCACTTTAATTTAGCAATTACTATTAATATAATCTTCTTGATCTTGCACTTAGCAAGTATAACAATCCTTAACAAGTTTCTGTGAATAAAATCTTCATCTGCCTAGATTCTTGTATTATAGTGTTTTTTAAACTACCATGTATTTGTAAAATTTTGCTATTAATCTTTAACTTACTTGGCAATTAAACAATAACTAGAATATCATACTAGATACTACCGATAATATATTCACACAGATAACAGTTTATTCACTAAGAATAATTCAAAGAAGCAAAGTTCTAATAAGAACAAAAGCCCTTATTTGGATCGATACCTTATATATTATTACTAATACATGTTTGATTACTATATTGTTCATACAATACTAATTGCTACTGATTACTATATTGTTCATACAATCACTACTTTAGACTTTTAATTAAATCATAATTATCTGATATATTATATATTAATTAGATCACAACATTCAATCAACATGTATCTGATCACTAGTCATATAGGTACTGCATAGCCTTGTGACAAAAATTAAGCAACAACTATTCAGCGCATATCATATAGTTTCTAAATAACCCTATATTTAATAAGAGGAATCATGACTTGTGGGTTAAAGCAAGAACAAAAAAGATAAGTTGGAGTTATTTTTCAATGAGATTATATAATTAGATCTTTGACCAGCATTATAATAGAGTTGATAGTGTATGTAATTTTATTAAAATTATGTGTTACTAGAATAGACAAATTAATGATTTTTTGAATTTACTGCATAGCCTGCACAGTCTGCATAGCTCTGATCTCTCTAGTAGTCTAAGGTTTATAATTATATATATATATAAAATATCTACTTTGTATGTATAAAGTTAGGCTCTTATTTAGTGTTGTTAGATAAAACTTAAACATTTCACCACAGCAAAAGACAAAACTAGTTTCAACTTTCGTCAAAAAAAATTAAAATGTCAAAATTGTAAAACAGGTGAAAAGTGATGAAACTGCATAACTGGTGAAACTGCCAAAAAGTGGTGAATAAAAAAAAAAGATAGTAAAACTGATTAAAGATAATAATATTAATAAAAGAAGCAAGACTAGAAAGATAATTAAAGAAAATTAAAACTATTTTATATAATTATCTATTTTTTTATAATTTAATTTATCATTAAATTAAATTGTCAGTCAAATAAATGAAACCAAAATTATGTTTTATTAAAAAAATTAAAATTATAAAGCCTAAAAAATTTATTTTAGAAAGATAAACTTTAGAAAAATAAGTAATAATAGTAAAAACTATATTCATAAATAATAACCTACTTACAGATAACTAGATATAGATTTTAGTATAGATATAATTAAAGCTTTAATTCTTAATCTAACTATCTGAATTGATCTTTAAATCTAAATAGATTCAGATATTTAGATCAGAGATTTTTACTTAGATTGGTCAAAAAACTTAATTAACAAACCTAAGGATATGCTACAAAGCTAGCTTTATATATAATCTAATATAGATTCAATTCAGATTTAATCATATCAGCTAATTTGTAGAATTGGACCTTTTTTTGTAGATCTCTAAATTATAATAAGCCAATCAGAATCATTAGATTTACATATTACACCATATTACACTATTATACTTTTTTTTTATATATTGGTTTTTTTTTAATCTACCTTTTTATATATATAGAGTATATTTTTTGGTGCTTTCAGACTTTCTTTTGCTTGTAGTCACTTGTAGATATTATCGTAATAGGTGCTATTGCCTGGTGGCGTCTTTGTTGGTAACATTTTGTTGTTTACAGTATCATCATTAATTGGCGTTATTGTTTATAGGTTTCTTCACATTTATTTGTTCGTCTCTTCTGTGAGTGTTTTAGGCCCTTTGTGCCAATGCCATTTACTATCATTATATTGGTATAACTAGCAAAAGTCTTGTAAGTTAAAATAGTAACAGTAAACTTATAGATGAAATTGAGCTTTATAGTTTTTTTAGTAGTATTAATGATAGGTAAGTGTGTTCAGTATGCAATAAGCTTAGTAGTATATGGGAGTTCCACAGCAAAAGCCGGCGATAGGCCCAACCAATCAAAATCGAGATTTTATAATAATTAATTTTTTTAGAATCTAAACTTTAATAAAAATAATTTTTTTATTATAATATGAGTAAAATGTATACAAATTTATATCTTTATGCGAATCCAAGAAAAATTGATCTACGTATGTACATGTACGTACGTATCTATTAGCTATATTGCTGTATTGTACGTACGTACGTACGTACATATATTCTAGTATGGTACATTCATATCTGTTATTGATTTACTGTTACACCATATTAAGCACATATCATTCTAGTAACAGAAGACTATTTATGGTAGTAAATTCTTGTACAAACCTGTTAAATACATAGGCTAATTAATGCATAATTCAGCAATCGTCATTATACAGATAGCGAAAGCTGATACTGATACGTACGCAACATGTGTATATAAAATATAGAAATAATGATAAAAATTTTTTCACACCTTACTTTTAATTCTAACAATAAAAATGAAATACAATATATGTTCTAGTGATCAAAATACAAATAAAGTTATTTTGACTGCTTTAAATGATTTAGAAAATACATTTTTTGTCGAACATTCAGATTCTGAAGAGAGTTCAGTATCAGATAATGACAATAATGAAGAAATTGATGATAATATTAGTGACAATAATGAAAAAATTGATAATAATATTAGTTTAGATAGGTTAAATAAATTTGAATTTGTAGAAGTTCCTGAAAATTATATTGAAGATAAAGTTTATGATGATCTAAAAGTAACAATTAAAAAATTTTTTGAAAAAAAAAAATGTTCATGCCATTCCGAACAACCTCTTTGATCAAATTGGTTATGAACAGTTTCTTGCACGTCGAGCTAAATTTGAAAGTTTGGATAAAACATGCAAGATATGGTTATTAAAGGACAGCTCATAGCTTTTCAAAAAAATGAAGATACAAAAAAAATTTCTAATAAATACTCACGTTTTCGTTATTGTTATAATAATAGCATTCAACTTTGTCATGATGCATATTGCTCTTGTAGGAGTTGGTTATACATATTTAGAAAATATCATAAAGCATTTACATAAACACGGTCTTGAAGAACATACATATGGAAATACAGGTAGAGCTCCAAAAAAACATGAAGTGTGTTGAAGTAAATTATAGTATAGCATGTGATATATTTAAGTTTTTAAAAAACTATTCGAATATACATGGTATGCCCTCACCTGGACGATATTTTAAAGAAATTTCTATGCCAATTGTGTTTCTTCCTACCAGTTACAACTATGCTTCAGTATACCATGATTATGTACAAGCCACTAAAGGTAAGTATGAAAAAGATGTTTGCGTTATTGCTGAATCAACTTTTACTAATATTTGGAAAGCTTTAATACTGTCGCTTCAATTTATGTCTTCGAAATCTAATTTGTGTGAAACTTGTGAGATGATGAAAATGGATATACAATATGCGACACAGCATGAAAAAAAATTAGAACTTACCGAAAATTATTTGGTACATTTAAATCGAGCGCAAAAAGAACATGACTATTATAATAAGAATATTGCAAATGCAGTTGAAGATGGAAAACGCAATCAAATCACAGTTGAGTCTCAAGTACCATTCAAAACTTTCGAAGAAATTGCTTATATCACATATGACTAGGCCCAAAATATCCAAATACCCTATTCACCGCAGCAAGTAGGAACATTATACTTCAAAATTTCTTGAAAAGTACATTTATTCAGTATTTGTAATACAGGTAACTTTCCTAATGCACAACAAACTAATTATGTAATCGACAAAGCTGAAATACCTAATGATGGTAAGCAAGGAAAAGGTATAAATTGCACTCTAAGCTTGGTTTGGCATGCAATTCAAAAATATAACCATAGAGAAAAAAAATTAATTGTCACGTGCGATAACTGCGTCTGTCAAAATAAGAATAATTATTCGTTATTTTTTTATTCATGGTTAATTGACCGTGGCATATATAACGAAATTGAATTGAATTTCATAATACCTGGGCATACCAAATTTATCTGTGATGGCTGTTTTGGCCTAATTAAAATCTTTTATCAGAAAAGTAAAGTGAATACCGTCAATGATATAGTATCAATTGTTAATCGTTCTATAACAGTTAATCTTAGTGTTGCTCAGTATTATTTAAATAGAGAAGGTTTTCATTATTTTGATTTTAAAACTTACTTTCAAACATTTAAGAAGCTGCCTAACATCCAAAAATACTATCACTTTTACTTTACTTCACAATATTCGGGTGTCATTTCTTACAAAGACAGTCTTGAAAATAATTATAAACCTTTTACAATGTGTTTATTTTCTTTTGATACAAATATCCTACCTCCTACAATCAACACCAAGCTACTTCTTTTTAAGAAACAAGAAGAATTATATAAAGAAATTGCGCCCCATGTTGATTTACCTTTTTGTGATATTACTTGTCCTGAGCCAGAAGAATTAAAAACAAGTTAATTAAAAAATTTTGTTTTTTGCTAGTTTCAAAATTTCATTAATTTAATTATATATTAACTAAATTATTAGATTGAATATGAATATAGAAAATGAATTAGACTATTACACTTATTGAAATGAGGTTCAGGT